GGCCACACAACGATCCAGGCAAACTGCTTCCCCCTTCGTTAACTCCCCTTCTCTGTAAAAAGTATCAAATCGGCATCGTGCCTAGTTTTCGGTGAATGAAAAGGCGCTTTCGAAGTTCGGCGTCTTCTTCGAATTTCGCTCTCATTCTCACAAAAGCTGCCATGCTCTAAGCAGCTTGCTTGCCAGTAATCCTCGAAAGAGGGGGGCCGTCGACAGTCTTGCCAGCGGGCGTTTGCTGTCGGCATTTGCTACCATCGGGCTACTTCGAGACAGCGACTGAGAAGAGGGCCTTGATAATGCACCAACAAAGTCTGGCAAAACACCCGCCACTGCTATTGTCCAGTCAATTTTGCTTTTGGATACGAAAGCAGCTTACTTATAACGAGTGGAGATGCACTTTTGTTGACAGGCAGCGGACATTCGTCGGTACATGTCAGACATCATTTCCATCTCGAGGTCTGCGACCATTTGCAGTTGTGCTTGTGACATTTTGCAGTATCCTGAGAAAGACACGAACATTCCAAGAACGACTTTGGAATGAATTATCCCGAGAACAACTCAAAAATTGTGTAAATTTCAAGAAGTGGAAGGGATGATTCACCATATGAGAAAATAGAATTGCCAAGATTTGTCGAATAAAAGTTTTTTGAAATAATTCACTTCTACGACGGCAGAATAAGGAAACTAATACTAAAGTTCTTGTTATTTCAATCAGCTACGCATAACAGAAATGAGGCACGAGGAATGAGGTAAATGCCATTTCCCTTTTGAAGTTAACAGCTAAAATCGTCTCTCTAGAAAGAAGACTCGAAAATGGGAAAGGTAACACACTGCAATGGAGTCAGACAGGCAAAGTGTGGAAAAAACCCTCAGTAATGCCAAAAATTTTTTGCTAAAATGATAAGATTTAGGCAAAAATGGGCAAAACTAGGAGGAGAGCACAAAATGGACCACTGACAAAATTTATATATTGGACATTTTCAGGGAGAAGTTTGATGTGTTACTAAAATAGTCTTACGTTTGACCATAAAAACTTTTAACTTTTTTGTAAATCACTGATAATAAGATTAAATGATTCTTACAAATCCCCCCAAAATACGACTTTTCGGATTCACTGAAGTGTGGCAGCTATTAAAATTTGCATATGCTAAATGAAATATGGTTTGTGCGAGGCGTTACCAGATGAATGAAAAAAGAGGCAAACAAGAAAGACTTTTTTATGCTTGTGAAGCACATAACTACAAAGTCACAACATACCCGTAAGCAAAAATTACAATTTGACAGCATTTTGGAGAAAAAGATATCTTTAATTGCCCCTTTCGCCCGAAAACCCGCAGAAAGAGCATGTTAATTCGAGAAATCAATAAATTTCCCCGGACTACCCAGGTGAGGAGCTATTCCCCAGTGCTGCTGGAGCGATTTCCCAAATTGCTTTTCCCCAGACTGTACCCGAGATCTTCCACGAGCATTCGTATCTGTTCTCGAACAGTCAGCCGATGACCGTTTCCGCAAAAACGACGAATATTCAGGGATTCGCGGCACATGTTGGTTCCCAGCAAAGCGAGAAAAGCCTTAATTATAAAGAGCAATCAAAACAGGTGTACAGCGAGATGTAAGTATCATTGGAAAATCGAACAGCCGTCGATTTCGGGCCATAAAAGCTGATCCTGTACGCAGAACCATCGGCTGGACCAAGCAGCTGCAGCGAAATCAAAACAACATCCACAAGATAGAGCAACGTGAAGCACCCAAATGAGAACATTTTCAAAAATCCTGAAAAATGATGGGACGGAAGACAAGTGCGCCAGTAAAAGATCACTACAAATTTTACTGCTAAATAATTGTGAAATAAGAAAATTCACTGGGAATATGCATAAATTGCAAGAATTTTGTTTTCTGAAATGCAATAACCAAATTTATGAAATCCGAAATGTATGAGTGGAAAAAGCTCAGGCTGAAGCCTTCAAACACATAAGCCGGTAAAAAAAAACATTAACACAAGAAATAAAAAAATCGGAAAAATTTCTTGGAAGCTATGAACTGTATAAGAATGCATATTTCGCACTTCCAAGGCAAAAAAAAAAAATGCGTAAATCAAATTCTAAAAATTGGCCAACGCACGGGCTGCCCGTGCGAAGATGCGTTTTTTGCAGAGTTCCCCGCAGT